ATGATTGACAAATGATGACATATTTGTGTTTTTTTTTTAAAAAAAAGAAAAATAAAAAAGTTCTGTTTAAAAAATAAATAAATAAATAAATTTTGTTCTGGTTTTTTTTACACAACAGAAACAAAAATTCCTGAATATACATCTGAGTAAAGAACCAGATTGACAGCCGATTTGTTATAACAGTTGAAAGCATAGAAACTAGATGATTTTAGGCCAATTACTCTCTCAATCTTAGAAAGTTTTATAAATCAGACCTGTTAATTTTTAATTCTACTTATACTACAAAGGCTGTTTCATAAACAATAACCATTATTTGAAATAGTAGCGATAAACTACCTTGCTTTATTTCTCAGTGCTGTAACTGAAGCTGCCTTACTCTACTGACAACCCACCTCAGAACTAATTTAACACCATTTTGTCTTAGAGTAGGGGAAAAATGTGATTTCAAGGAGCAGATTTATTATATTTATAAAAACTCATTAGTGTATTTTATTTATATTTTACTCAAATGTTTGAAGAGCACCCTATTAATAGCTTAATTAAAGACTTCTAAGAAAAGCTAATTAAATTGTACTTAAAACTTTAGGACATAAATAGAGTTGGAACTGACGTTTTAGCAGTGATGTCCACGTACTGCCCTGGGCGGAAATGAGCTGCATACAGAGGTGTACCTTAAAGTAAATTAAGAGAGATTAAACAGTTTAGGTTAAAAACACACACATGGGAAACCATTAATGTCTGGCTACAACTATGAAGATTAAGTAAGGAATCAGTCAAACTACTTACTACTTAATATCAGATGCAGCAAAACATATGTATTACAGTTTCTGCATTTTGAGAAAAATATAAAATATCTTGCTGTGTTATATAATGACATGACATGGCTCCATTCTAATTATTTTTTTCAATAATGGGGTCCCCACTCTAAAGGTAGATTCAACTATGACAAAGAATTACTTCTCATTTATTTATCTGCAAATTGATTATTCTACTTACAGTTAATAACTGTCTTCTCCTGGCACAAAAGATAAATATTCTGTCATTTTCAAATAACAGAAAATACTAAAACTCAGGTTTTAGATTTTGGCAGTGGTTTGCTCTCCAAACTTGTTTCAATTTAGTTTCTGAACGTTTCATTACCAGACTAGGTAACATTATCAGCAGGATTTTCTTGTCCTATTCTCCTTAGCTTATGTTTTGTGTGCCAGTGTGGTCTGTTGGTTGTTTGATTGGTTGTTCATTTGGAGCTATATTTAAATTCTGAGTAGCTGATTGGTTCTCTTGTTGGTTGATTCGTTGTTTGAATGATCTGGTTTCTTATGTAGTGATATGATGGATCTAGATCAATATGTTTGTTAATTGCTCCTTTGGTAGAATACCAGGCTTCAATAAATGGGATCAGTTTTACATGTGAGGAAGAAAAAGAACAATGACCTAGATACTAACATAACGAGACAAGAGAGCAGCGAATTAACAACCACCCAGACCAAATTCTAAATTTCACAAGCACTCACCTCACTGCACACAAGAGCTGCATTCAGACCTTTTTCAAAAGAGTCAAAACACACTGCATAGTTCACAAACCCACATGTACACTCAGAAAAAAGACAAAAGACAAAATCTAAGACAAAATACAGAAGGAAGACAACAGCAACATAGTATACAAAATCATTTGCAACGATTGTAACCAATTCTATATGGGACAAACAAAAAAGTGTTTTGAAATAGGGGTTCATTAACATCAACTAGCAGGTAAACAGCACGACCCAAAATCCCTGATCTCAAACCCCATTGATAATAAACAACCCCAGTTTGATTGGGAAGGAACAAAAATCATTGGCCATGCCAGCACCCGCCATGCACATGAATTTATTGAATCTTTGTATTTTACCAAAGGAGCAATTAACAGGCACAGTGATCTAGATCCAGCATATGAATATGTAAGAGACCAGACCATTCAAACGATCAATCCACAAGATAATCAATCAGCTGCTCAGAATTTAAATATAGCTCCAAAGTCCAAATAATCAACCAATCAAAGGACCAACTGATCACACAAGATATTTATAAGCTAAAGAGAGTAGGACAAGAAAATCCTGCTGATGATGTTACCTATTCTGATAATGAAACGTTCATAAACTAAATTTAAACACGGTTGGAGAGCAAACACTGTCAAAATTCTGTCATTTTTTTTCAAAGATCTATACCCAAGGTTTTTAAGAATCAGAATTTATTAAAACTTTTTGTTGTTCACCTATTGCATGGGGTTGGCACTGACTATTGACAAATTAGGGCTCTTCTCCCCCCCCCAAAAAAAAAAATATTGAGGCCATTTAAAAAAGTTTTTCCTCCCCTTCAACACGAGATTCCTGAAATATTTCTCACTTGCAACCAAAAAAGTAGTGTCATCAACATATCTAAAGCTGGATCTCAGTTATTTTAATTGCTATTTCTATTTCTAATGTAGCATTTACTATTCTATACATGAAATAAATTAGGTGAAAGTACACAACCTTCACATATTTTCCCCAATTCGGAATCAATTGTTTCATATTCCATTCTACTTGTTGCTCCCTGGCAATCACACAAATATTTAATAGGAAAATGAGATGGTTTTTAAAGTTTATTCATAATTTGCTGGGATTTAATAAAACCTTTGCCTAATGTAAAATGAAAGCTAAATGTGCCTCAATTTATAATTGCAATAGAGCATGCCCATTACAGTTGCATGTCATGACAAGCATTAAGAAAATGACTTCGCTGAATCCCATGTTTCCCTGCTGCAGCTGTTAAATAACTGTCCAGGTTGTAAGCAGAGCACTGGATACCTCAGGAGTGAGGATAACCTGGGAGGCCTAATGCAGATCAGCTACACCTGCTTCAAGCTCCCAAGTTATCCTCCATCCCTTGAGACACCCAGTGCTCTAGTTTATGCCCCTTAAGGTCCCCACAGCCCTTGGACCTATTTTCCCTGCCCCACCAAGGGCTTGGGCATCCACTCCACCCATTATGCTCTTACCTTCTGAAGAACTTCAAAGCCCCAGTGCTTTCCATAGCAATGCACAGACCAGGTTAAGGAAGCTGATTATATCTCTTACCTAATCCAAGCTCTGGAATTCTACAGATCTTTGAAAGGTAAGTGAGGAGGATATGGAAGCTGATGGAGTGGGAATACCTGTGAGCCAATACCTGTGGAGATCTGGTGTGCTGGTGTGCTGGTGTGTGTGTGTGTGTGTGAGAGAGAGAGAGAGAGAAGACAGGAGAAGTGTGTGCTACAGTGGTCAATTAAGATAAGGGTGAATGACTACAGAGGCACTACAGTGGCCATAACTTCCCCAGCAGGTCATAAGTAACTTTTGGAGGGGTCCCCTGTAACTTAGAATAGCCGCTAAGTTACCAGTCATAAGCCAAGGACTATCTGTATTTTTAAAAGTATATGGTTTCACTGAACATTATTTTTCTCTATCATTTCAAAAGTACAGAAACATTTATTTTCAGTATTAAAACAATTTTTATTTGGTTCACTTTGTGATCTTTTTTTAAAATATAGTAACTTTTATGAATTTACTTTCCTGTCCATGACCACAATTCAATCAGCAAATATCACAAATAACATTTGTTATGAGCTATGTTTAAACTAAATAAAAAAATATTTCTGCTATAGCCAACTTTTTTTTAAAGTCACTTCACTTTGTCTCAAGGTTATTTCAAATAAATGTAAGATAACAGGCACCTAATATAATGACTATTAATTTTTCTTTGGAGAATGATAAGTTTTTAATTCTTTACTTTTACATACATGGTACTTATGTATTATTTTTTGAGTAGAAGAATACTAGTTTAGCAAATACTTATTCTTCTGCTAAATAGCTTTTAATTAGTAGGGAGAATATAATGAAAAATTATACTGCACCTTGTTAACATTACCTGGCTTAATGACAGCATTAGGTGACACTCGAAATATTGAAGTTTTCTGTTTTGGTGGAAGCCCTAGTTCTCTGTATATTTCCATGACAGAAGAACTTCTCTGGAAATCATAAAACTACAGTCAGCATAGTAAAAAGTGGAATTTATATAATATGCAGCCCCTTTAAACAATAAAAATAGAATTTAACTTTTTATTGTTCTCACAAATGTCAGAGAACAGAATGACACAGAATGACAAAGAGCATCGTTGCTTGTAATTGTATAATAGTCTATATTTTTAAAAAGTGCCAATGCTCTAAATGAAAGTTAATACTTAATTAAAAAGCACAGTAAAAAAATCTTTTTTTTTTTTTTTTT